ATAGTGAATTTCCTGCTACACCATCATTGATTTAAAATTCACTTATTAATGATTGCAACAAAAAAAAAAAAAAACAACTTGACATGATTTGCTTTGTGAGCCAAAAATGTGTTTTAAGATGAGAAGAAGTGACAGCATTGGACTTTGGAGGTTCCGGCGTGCGTAACGTCATGTTTGGCTTGAACGGGACTGAACTGCTTCTCTCACACACAGCCGAGTGAACCAAACCATGGTACACGCCATAGCAACGGGGGGAATGCAGGACAAATTATATTCCTAAATGTCAAAGCAGGTAAATGATTCATGGTGATGCGCACAAAAAAAAAAAAAAAAAAACCTTCCCTGGTAAACCTCAATGTGTGTTACATTCACCTGGACCACATTGTCCCTCCCCAGCTTCCAAACCAACCATATGTTCCCTATATGACTCCCCCCGAATTCACCTTTGGGTCCCCCAAAATTATAGCGATGTGGATTTGTGTATTATCCATATCGTGGATGGGCAGCTCGTAGCCTGCTGTGAGTGGACCCTTGATTCATCAAAAAAGATTTTGGGGGTGGGGGGAAGTATAAACATGTTCAAGTGCGCGGCCCTGCAGTATGCGGATCCCTAGTTGCACTGATGAAAAATTGTGGGCTCCCCCCTCCATCATTTACATTGCCCATCCCTGATCTCTATCATACATAATACAGGAAAAGAACTTTGGAATAGGTGTCCACTGTAGTAGGAGAAGAAATGATGTTTTTGTCCAAGCACATAAAGCCTTTTCTGCGTTGTCAGGTTCCCACCGGGCGTGGGGGGCGGCGTGGCTTCCGGCGGGATCTCCCGGCCCCTGGAGGGGCTTCTGCCCGGCGGCGTGCCCGTGGCCCACACCCTGCCCCCGGGCACCCACGCATCCCAGGCCACCTCTCCCAACCAGCCCTCCAAACACGGCGACCCCACCAGAGAGCACATGAGCGAGCCGTGACCAGGCACTGACGCCCCCCGCCTGCACACACACACACACACACACACACACACGCACACACACACCCCAGACGGAGGACGCACAGATGAGACTGTCACATGAGCCCTCCTGGACTTGCAGGACGGAATGACCATTTACTCCGCTCCTTTCCTTCATTCCCTCTTTCCAGCTGTTGGGGTTTTTTTTTTCTTTTTTCTTCCTTCTTTTTTTCAATGTTGTGTTGCAAGTGTTGTCCTGTTTCTTGCAAGTGTTACACGTGTGTTTTTTCAACAGGAATCGTCCTCATAAGCCAAAAAAAACAAACAAAAAAAAAATTTTAAAGCAAAATCATCCATTCAGTAAATTATATTTGCGTGTTAGAAACGTAGGACAAAATAAAAGCGAGAATTAACTTCAAGCCATAACTGAATAGACACAAATCTGGATTTTTTTTTTCTTTTCCTCCTTTTTTTTTATGTCAAATTCAGTTGATGTGCAGTTGTTAAATGTTCTTAAATCATGTGACTGCTCCTTGTCGAGTTTTTTTTATTTTTTTTTTTTACACTTATTTTAGGGTGGCTGTTTGTGTTTTTGTTCTTGTACAAGGCGACCATACAGTATAATAACATAACATTAAGTGCAGCTGGAAACCACAAATAAATACATGCTGTCCTGATTGATGATACGAACTGGTGGAATGTGATTTTGTGCATTCGTTGAAATATGAGTGGCCTTTTATTGTGGGCAGCCAAAGGCACACTTGTGCTGTCAAAAGAGCTTCTTCATATGCGACAAATTAACCCTGGCAAAAGAGAGGTGCTCACAAATGTATTTAGACAGATTTGTGAATATTTGAGAGTGATATGCTTTTGCATGCCAATGTAGGAAAAGATTACTCAAGGACACACGTGTAATAATTCAACTGTTTCAAAACAGTAATTAATGCTGTCATGGAATTTATAAAATAAATTAATTTTTAGTTTTTCATCAATTGTAATAGGCTAGGCTTTATAATTACAATGATTAGATTGTAATTAAAGCGGTGATATAAAATGAAAATGTTTTTACAAACTAAATATAATTGTAATAGCATAATCATATATAAAATAACATTCAAAAATTAAAGGTTTTATTATAATATGGATATACTTGGGAGTGGGCATCGAGCCTCTCGAATCGATTGGAATGGGACTCGCCTCCTGGAATTGGTCGCATTTTAAATTTCCGCTTCCCTGTAATGGTGGATCGTCCACCCACCCGAAGAAGAAAACTGTTGAAACCAACGAAGAAGAAATTGCGCACTCGCGCGAGTGCACTCGCCGCCCATCCCAAGTGGAAAGGAGCCTCACCGCTCCACTTGCGGAAAGATGTTACTGTGCTAATTTTGGCAGGTTGCATGACGTGTGCCCATTTACGGGGTGCGTGTCCGACGAGCTTGAGGCTTCCTCCCACAACAACTTCAGTGCCACAATCGGGTGGGTTAAAAAATGAAATACGTCTGTTTCCATGTTGCTAAAAAAACTATTGCATTTACGAGCTAAGCGGTGGGTCCACTCAAATGCAAATGACCAGCTAACGTGCAGTATTTTCTTTACCGCGCATGCGCGTGGGTCCACAACCGACACATTGTAATCTATTGTGAACGTAAAAAAAAAGAATAACATACTTTTATAAATGTATGAGTACTTGTTCAAGCCAACCTTTGAATAATTCATCGTAAAGTCAATTCAAAGGTAAAAAGTTAACGGAAATAAATGTGTTGGCAAGTTTGGATGAGTTCGTCCAAAACTAACTGATTATAAACATATCCGTTTGAACCTGGGGTGTCGAAACTTTTGAAGGGCCACCTTTGGGGAAAAACAAACCAAAAAATGAAGGAAATAAGGGCTGCTTCGACACCTTTTGTTAAACACTGAAGCAATTCATCAGTTTCGGTAAAGATATGTGAAGCTGTGTCTTAATATATGTACTGTAGAGTTGACCAAAAAAAACAGCTAGACAATAAAGCAAAACATCAATGATTTTTCAAGATACTGCTGTGATCCTATGCGATGAAAGAAGTGAGAGATGACATCAAACTTCAATTGATGGCAAGTAATATCGTAGCGCAATGCAAGCAGTGTTGTTTTTTCCGTCGCCAAAAATGCCATCATTTGGACACCCCCGAAAAGAATCTAATTCGAGAATCGTTTGGAACCGGAATCAAATACAGAGGCATATAACATTCCTTTTAAAACTTCCCTGAAAGACTAACATGATTTAGTTGAATTAATTAAAAAAAAAAAAACAAGGAGTGAATAATGGAGGCTTCCTGAATTGCTATGAAGGCAAAAGTGAACCGTTGCTTAATTTCATGTATCTGCCGCAACTTCCACTAGAGGGTGTAATACATCCTGTCCGAGTGAAAATAAGTCCTAATGAATACTGTAAATAAAAGTCAACAGTTGAAACATTGAAAAAATGTTTTTTATTTTTCTGGTTGTTGTTGTTTTTTTTTTTTTTGCTCACTTGTTTATGTTACACTCTTGCATGTATGACTGGTGACATGAGGACTAGAAAAAAAAATTAGAATCCACAAACCAACTATTGCATCAATATCAAGCAACACACCACAGGTGGACGCTCCGAACCGAGGGAGGGGGAAAAAAAAAGTGGCAAAACTGTAATAAGTAGTAGTGAATTCCCCGTCAGCTTTGGTTTTGATGTCATTGCCGTGACGAGATGCTTTACCACACAAACGAGGTGAGTGAGGGTGACCCGGAAAGGCGAAAGAGCTGAAGTCATCTGACATGAAATGAAAAAAATGAGAAAAAAAAAAACAAGCACCAGGTTGTAGACGTCCCCTTGAGGTACTACCGAAAAATCAAAACCACCGGTAAACTTGACGTCATGGCGATGTCGCTTCTTCATCACTGCCTCAACCCCCCCAAAAAAGCAGAAAAATATACAGATTATGAGCTTCCAAATACAATCATAATAAATATGTCGACTAAAAACAAAAACCAAACTTCTATAATGTGAGTCCACTTATTAAAGGGAACATCTCCCTCCCTTTTTTTTTTATTCTCCCCAAGCGCTTCCTTGACCTGGTTCAAGCGATCGCATTCGTGTAGAAATGTCGTCATAAATGTGCAGTGCTTCAATAAAACTTCTAAACACAAGAATGGCTTTGTCCATTTTTTTTTCTCCAAAATCCAAATCGGAAATAATGTGCTTGCTTTTTGAACGGAACACATCAATGCTGGTCGAGTTCATGTTGAACTACACGTCGAATTCATTTCAACAACCACATGCATAATTATGGAAAGCCCTTTGAGCATTCATCCCATATCCTTGATATTTATCTTAAAACGTCCATGTACTAGTATGCTCTTTGTCTTCACCGGGAATACAATTTGTTTTTGCTACGACCTTCGGCTAGTTATCAAGGGCAATGAATAAATGCGGCAATGGCTAGCCAGCTTAAGTTCCGTGTATTAGTACGCCCAGTACCACTTTTTGGGCCTACCAGCACACAATTAATTACACCAAATAACAAACGACTATGCTGCACTAGTATTACAAGGCCAAACTAGTAGCCATGTCACGTACGAGTAGTCCTTCTAGATTCGTAGCACCGAAATAACCGGTAGTGCTTCAAAAGTAATATGTAGTTGTCCTACTAGTGTGCAGTTACGAACAAAAATGTGTGTGTGTGTGTGTGTGTGTGTGTGGGGGGGGGGGGGGGGGAGCAAGACGCAGTCGTTCGACTAGTGTTTTGTATAGTAGTCTTACTAGTCAGGACAAAGCACAGAGTAGCACAGGGACCTGAGGCTGGATATCAAATAAATGCTCAAATGGCTTGAGGCCAAATGTGGCACGAGTTAAAAAAACAAAAACGTACAAGTACGACAGTTGTTCCGACTGGTTGGCTGAATCGTCTTACTAAGGGAGGATAAAGCACATACTAGGACATGGACCTTCAACTGAGGCTTATTTTATATATACACTGTACATATAAACTAAGGCTTATAATGTTACTTATGCATTTATTCCATTGATATTCACCTTATGTTTGTACTAGTAAGACATGTTCGCTCCACTAAGCGCGCTAGACTGTCTTACTGGTCGGAGCAAAAGGGCGAAGGAGTGCACGGACCTTAAGATGGATAACAAATAAATGCTCAAGCGGCAAGTATGGGCCAAATAGTGTGACGGGTAGGATGAAAAACCCGAAAGTGGTAGCGCACAGTGTAAAAAAAAAAAAAAAAAAACAAACAAACATCACTAGTAAGACACGGTTGTTCTCCTCATGCACCCCGTTTGTTCAACCAGCGCACTGAATTGTCTTACTCGTGAGGACAAAGAAGGTACACGGAGCCTCGGCTTGTGGACCGAATGCTTCAAAGGGGCTTTCCATCCATGCGTTGACATGGAGCAAATCCGTCACGGTGGAGATACAAATGGGAGGTGGGGGGCGGGGGAAAGGGTGGGTTTGGATTTGTAAACCTTTTTATTTTCCGCGCCCGTCACAGTTTGCCCCAAAGTCCCAACTGGCGAGCGAGCGCTCACTCGTCGTCGTCGTCGTCCTCCTCCTCGCCATCGGAGAGCGCGGCGCAGGCGCGTATCTGCCGGTATCCGTCCAGCCACTTCTCCACCATCTGCGTGACGAGCGGGTGGTTGCGTCTGCGCGAGCTCTTCTGCAGGGCCACCAGCACGCCGCCGTCCGTCACGCAGCAGTCCAGCCACGAGCGCAGCAGCTTCTCCTGCTGCTCTTCGTTGCCCATCTGGCAAAACGCACAAGCCGGCGTCAGATCGTTGACTTGCGCTCGTCGCGTTTCCACTTCGGCGGGGGCGACGAACGGCAATCATCGAGTTTCGCGACATTGGAATGGAGCATGCTACAATATTCAGATATCGAGTTTATAGAGGAGTCATTCTTTTTAATTTTAAATCATCTTTACTTTTAATACACTAAAATTAATTCAGCCAATTTTATATCTAGAAAAAAATGCGAAAGAATTTGCGAGTGAATGCTGAAATGCTAAATGGAAAAAAAAAATGTAGAATGATATTAAATGATGTGGAAGGGGAATAAATGGGGAATTTTTGTCGGATGTGGAAATTTAGGGCATGTTGAAAATGGTTACCAAGGTGAATTAAATGCGCTCGGATGGACAGATACAAAATGTTTTCCAAGGTGAAATGAATGCGCTGAATGTTTTGAATTTCAAACGGTAACAATGTGAATCTCTTGTGTCGAATGTCACACTGAGAACGAATGGGGAGGTTTGGGTTGGAAGTGTTGAAATTTGCGACAATTGAATTTTGGGAATGAGAAAAATAATAGCCTGCCTGCCAGCTGTGAATTTTTGGAATGTACCTAACATGGGGATGACGCAAATGTGATGATTTCGGTGGTCATAGATGCGTGTCAAAATAATGGGAAGGGGGAGGGGGGGTGATGGGAATCATGAAAAGAACTTACTTCCTGCGCAGAGAGGAAGTGGATGTGCAGCAACTTGCGGTCGCTGTCGACGAGCGGCAGGAAGGTGACGGTGACGTCGTCGTCCGTGTTGAGGTTGGCGCCGGCGCCGCGATTGTCGAATCCGTCGTTCTCCATGGCCACCAGGGCCGAGAAGTGGCCGCGCGTGTAGCCGAGTGCGATGGGGCTCTTCCAGCAGAAGCTCTGCTCCCACAGCAGAGGCAGGTACACGCCTAGCAACACACACACACAATGCATCATCAGCAACGTTTCACAACTAAACACAGAAGTATCCGCTACCCTCGTGAGGATAAAGTGGCTCAGAAAATGTATTGATTTGCCTTTTCATGAATTTGTCTTTAAGAGCCGTGTGTAAGAAGGTGTTTTGAGATGTGATGGGTTCATGTTTTCATCGCCAAGAACTTCACCACACCACTAGAGGGCGCCCATGCAGCCCACTTTTGAGAGTTCGGAGCTGCGCACCTTGAAAGCGAGTGAACCCGAGCGTTTCCCCACGGAAACTTTTGTAGTACTTCACTCCGTAGACGATGATGGGCCTCCGAAGTATGTGCGCGAGGACGAAAATGTGAGTCTGCTCCAAGCTGGACCCCGGCTGCGGAGGAAAGAACACACGCATCGGGTTGCTTACTGTGCACGGCGGCCACACAAAACAACAACGCAGGCAGCCTGGCGCTAACCCACCTCCGCTTACTGCAATGCAGGAAGCACTCGCAAAGGCATCAATAGATCATCTCCTCGAATAATTGACAATTTCTGACAGGCGGACGTTACCTGACTGGCCAGCGACAGGATGAAGGCCCAGTCTTCCTGCCACTGCTCCTCCCGGAGGGAAAAGTGCAGGCCGAAGCTTTGCGAATACCACGACTCCCATTCCTTCCAGCGCGTGTAGAACCTTGGCCAACAAACACACTCGACTTTCAAAGGGTTCGACTTCTGTGTATGTATTACTGCAGGTTATATGCTAAAATAAGTTGCCTGATGATTTCAGTTAGCCTGTTGATGGTATTTTGCATGTATGTTAGCATAAAGCTAGCAGACGTACGCTTGATTTTTGTTTTGGTTTTTTTTGTTTGGGGGGGGGCTTGATTTCCACTCGCCTTCTCACAACCCCCTGGCTCTGCCACTTCTGGTCATGATAACGAAAACAATTAGCCCAGCTGCATTTGACCTCCCCAGCTGCCCTGGCAACAGTAAGCAACACATCTCCACAAAATGTCAGTTAAATGGCTGTTAAGTTATCAAAAACAGCAAAGCTTTGATACTGTGTGCAGGCAAATTTAGGAACGTGGGAATCCTTTTTGTGTGCACAACTCTTGGACTTTTAGACACAGGAGCAAATGAACTCCTTTGTATAATAATCATGTTTCATCCTAGTCGTCCCTGGAAGAATGGGCATGACACCCGCTCAAAACGGGCTAATTTCATCAAGACAAGGTCCAGTGAACGCTTTCCGTTTGGATCGATGTGCCAGTGAGTGGGGGGCGGGGCGTCATGCGGCACATTTTTCAAAGCCAAGCGTTGCATCGAAGTGTAAAACATAAGCAACGCGAGCCGGCCGCATGTCACGTTTCAGCTGCTGTCGCTGCCGTCCTTGAAGGCAGCACCGAGTGCGGCCTCCGCAGCAGCCGCGGGCCGTGCGCTTGGTCCGCTGCCAGGGAAGGACCGCGGGGTCTTGGCCGACTTGAAATTTCTTGGACCACAGGCAAGAAAAGACGACAGCCGCAGAGCGCGCCGCTATGCGGGACTAAAACGGCCTCCTCGCTTCTTAGCTTAGCAATTTCGCCGCGTGCTGCACATTCACGAGCCACCGACCGCGGCTTCACGTCACCCGTTCTTGACCAAAGAGGCGGCAAGTGGCGCCGGCGCCACAATGTCGGAAGCGAGCGCCCGAAGTGCGTCGCAATGCGTTTTGTCCTTTTAGCGCCTCACCAGTGCGAGCAGTCGTGGAGGCTGTCGTGGAGCGTCTTGCGCAGGACCGAGTCCTTGTCGTAGATGCCCCAGGTGGCCTGCAGCACCGAGTCCAGCAGGCAGTCCCCGGCCGTGCGGTTCCACAAGGCGTAGAGCCGGCTGTCCAGCCGGGTCCCGAGCTCCAGCGACCAGTTGATGATGGGAGACTCCTCCTCCAGCTCTGGGGAGAAACGGTCGATGGGCACGGAACTGCTGTCACATTGTGTGATTTGGCGATGCTGTTGCCGTGGTAACAGCTTGACAAGATCCAATCCCGGTCAACTGTTTGGGTCAAGTGATGTTTTTTTTTTCTCTCATTTCATTCGAGCTGGGTATGTTGGATATGAGACAAGAAGAACATGGCAAAAGGCCGAGATGGCCTATTTTTGAATTTATCTTACAGTGACAAAAGATTGCCAATCTTTAAAAGAAAAAAAAAAATCAACATATGCAGTATTCTAAAGTTGATTGAGAAGATATCAGGATTATTTCGTTCAGCCAAAATTTTCCTCAAAATTGGCCGATAAAATGTAAACAATGTCGATGCATTTTTTTCTTTCAATTGATGTCGAATTGTCATTCTCAGGAATAAACAGCGCAGTCCGACATTCCATTTTTCAGTAGAGTGACCTCTACTGGCGAAAAACGAACGTTTTGTGTTTCCACACGCTATTGCATAGTTGCAAACAAACTCCCCTTGAACTCACTCTTTAGCAAGCGTATGAATCATTGTGGGCGATTGTCCGTACAGGGCAATTTTATTGCGACAAAAAAAATAAATAAATAAAATAAAAAGAATCCAGTTACAAATATGACACCAGATATGAGATTGTACTCTGCTACAGGGCGGACGGAACATGTGACCCGGTGGGAAGACAACAAGCCACTTGTGTCGAGCGTGCCGTGCTCTCTTTGAAGCACAGCGAGCTTAATCTATTTAATAGCGGACCTCCTCAGTGCGTCGCTGACGCAACAAGCGACTGGAATCGGAAGCTGCATTTTGTGCATCACAGAGAAACTTTCTGGGTGGGGGTGGCGCAGAAAGTCGCCGAGCGCTTTACAAAACCACGTGATACACATTTTAAATCCTAATCTCTTCATCTAAACTGGGAGGGGTGGGGGGGAGGGGGGCCAGCAGTCTTTTCTGTCCACATTTCTGGCAAAAGTAAAATCCCAAATGCTTGTTATGTGATCCTTACGCCCTTCCTGTGACTCAATGCGCGTGAGGTAAAGCGTTGCCTTTTACGGCGATGCGTGCGTGTGTCTGGGAAAAGGTAAAAAAAAAAAAAGAAAAAAAAAAGGCTTCAGAACTGTACAAAAAGACGAGAAAAGAAGCAGCTGGCAGAGGGAGAACCATCAAGGAGACACTAACCGTTCTGGCAAGGGAGGAAGTGCGATGAATAAACCACTGCAAATACTTGGCGTGCTTCCTATTGGAGGATGAGTGCAAGCGCACGCGCGTGTGTGTGTGTGAGCGTGTGTGTTTTGGACCACCGTCAACCTGGATCTGGTTTAACTCCCTCCAACAGCAATTTGTACATGCACTCACTGCTCTAAATACGACATCGTATAGCTTACCTTTTTGTACGTCTCGGTCCAAAACCTCGTCAAAGAGCTTTTCCTGAACGGCTGGGGGCAAATCCTCAATATCTGAAAACAAATACACCAGAAAGAAAAAAAGATTTCTTCACTTTTTTTTAAAAGTAGTACCTTCTTAAAGTGGATATTCAATGGAATTTATACTCGACAAACTTGAAACTCCAGAAAACAACAACAAAGGCTTTCTACTCTATTCTGGTCGTGTTTGCTAATGAATGAAGGCGCCACATTTACAGTGTCGCGTATGAACGGCTGAACTTTATTTGTGGTTCATCGGCTGCTTTTTGAATGGCCATTTAAATGAATCGCCATTTAAATGTGATTGGTTAATTCTGAACACTGTAACATCCCAAGCTATGAGAGGGTGTGCGCACTTGCGCAACCACATGATCTCACTTGTTTTTTAACATCCCTCTCTTACCTTACTTTTTTCCCCAATTGGGTTGTCCAGATTATGGGTCACATTAGTTGTGGGAAAAGTTTTTCCAATGGTTTATCTTGGTCTCGCTTTGATTGAAGATCACAAAAAAAAAAAAAACTGGCATTTGAACACAGGCCTACGCCACAATTTTTTGTTGTTGTTCTGGCCACAATAACCAGTGGCTTTCCGTCAATGCCGGGTGGCTCTTGTCAACACAGTAGCCAATTCTTTGACGAAAAGACAAATGAATGCATCGACTGTGCGCGGCCAAAATAGTGCAACTCTCCGCTGGTGGCTACAAGCCAAGGTCGCCGTTGTCCCGCACACGTCGAACCAGCGATCATATTTTTTTAAACAATAGTCCAGATTGTGAGCCAGAGGTAAACTGTCTCATCTGGACAGCGTTCAAAACTAGCAGAAGGGAAGGCACAGAAACACACAGCCTGTGGGTTGTTGGAGCTAACAGCCTCTTAGTGCTCCGTTAGCATGCTGCTGCGGTGGCGGTGGTGGTGCTGACCTGCGGGCAAGGTGAAGGTGACCAGGTCAGTGAGGAAGTAGCAGGTGAAGTCCCCCTTGCGCTGGTGGAGGGAGGCGGCCACCTCGCGGCGGATCTGCTCCGTCAGCTCGGGACACACCATCGCCGGGATGCACTTGGCGGCCTGTTGTGACACCTGGGAGGAGGGGGGTTGTCACGTAAGGAGAGAGAGAGATTTTAGACAATTGCGGGAGGAAACCAAGAGTTCAAAGCAAACATGGTGAAGCAGCATTTAGCTGTTATGCTCCCAACAGAGATGAAGTGAGCCCCAAGTGAGCATGCTTTTTTAAATCCAGTGAAAATGTAACGCCCTCCAACGATAGAGGTCCTTTAAAGCATTTTTAAAATACATTTTGTTCCGTTACGAACTTTTCCTTGCACTGCATGTTCCTTTAATCATTTTAGGAAGACGCCTTTTATTTCCGCACTTTCTTTTGAAATGTCTTTAGTTTGTAAATGTTTTTCAATATTGTACTTTGAACTACTGAAAGCACACTGAGTTACTTTGTGTATGAAATGTTGCAAAATAAATAAAGCCGCCTTGCCTTGAGAGTCGAAAACGACCGCGATTCACTGTCTCTCGCTAATGTGATTTATCTTGCGTGCCAGTGAGGACGACAACAGGAAAGCATTTGAAACATTTTCAGTTGTTGCGCCCGGCGGCTTCAAACATTTTTGCAGGCATGCGCCGACGTCTCGCTCGGCGCTCACCGGCTGACCCGCTCTGACGGCAAATTGGGCCAGTGAGCGAGAGCGCGGTGAGGTGAGGTGCGCGGCCAACAGATAATCTGGGATAACGCTGCCGTCAGAAAGCAAGCTGCTCCGCGCGCCTCAGGCACGAACCAACACACAAAGGCGCACGCACGCGCGCGCGTTTCCGGCGCCGCCGCGCTCTCCGCTGACCTCGGTGAGCAGCACGGCGAGCATGTCCTGCCGCTGGAAGCGGATGGCGAGGTGCACCAGCGTGAAGCCCACGTCGAACGCCGACGGGCGGTGGAGCAGGTGCACCTCGTCGGACGACAGCTGCCTCGCGATGTCGCCCCCCGACGTCTTGTAGGTCTCCACGGCCGCCAGGTCGCCCTCCACCACGCCTGTGTGGAAAGACGAGAGGAAATTAAGCGCGGTGCAGTCATACCCCATCAGGTCGTTGAGAAGCAAAGATTTGGACCGTCTTTGGACACTTCTGCTCAGTTACATTTACGGCGGGTGTTGGTGCGTGTTTATTTGGGTCATTTTTGCAGACACTGCATTCCACGCTGTATTAACAGCGTGGAATCGATCTGCGCGTTGACGCGGCAACTCGCACTGGCATTGAAATCCGATACTTCTCCGATTATTATCGACTTCTTTAAGAGGCCCGATTTCGATGTGAGTAGATCCCCTTGCGTGCATTTCTTCGTTTTACGCTGCTGAGATGCAAATGTGGCATTTGAGAGCAAATTTTTACATTTGTATTTTTACTCTGCACTGAACCATATCGCCTTGGAGCGTACACGAAAGTAAAAATGTGTGTGAGACTTGAATAAATTGAAGCATAAAATGATATGAGATCTGGTTGAAGTTCTTTGGATACAGCCGGCCGATGTGAGGAGACCAAATACAACGATCCGAGTGGTTTCTAATATTTTGCAACGCCCCTTTCTCTCAGAACAAAGCGGCACAGTTGCACACCACCGTAAACTGCCATCGCAATGACAAGCACATTGCTTAATGAATAACTCTCAAACAGTGCCAATCAAAGCAATCAATACGAGAGCTTTGATGAAGCGCCGGTACCGGATTTAATTACGTCGTGCGTGCGTGCCTTTGGCGTTTAATCTCCATGAATTATAGTCATAATGAACTGTTTACGCCAAGCGAGTCATTTCAGAATGAAATAAATCTCCAAGCGTAAATGATGTCTGGTACGCCGTACATCTTGGGTGCCCCATCCAACAATTACAGCATCCTCTTGACAGCAATGGAAACACTGTGGCGCTTTTTTTTTTCCCGTGCACAACAACGCTCGGGGAGAGAGAGAAAGAGAGAGAGACATGGAGTGGGTGGAAGGACTCGCCGTGCCATGTGGAGCTGGGCTAGCGCTGTAAGCGATGAGGAGATAAGTGGGGGGGCTACACAAAAGCAATGCAGTGTGTGACAAGAGAGAATCACAAACCAGCAGAGTGGCGTGGGCGTGCCCGCGGCCCCGCCGCCGGCCCTGCGCGCCCGCATTCGAGAAGACGCCATGCTCGGCGCTCGCCCGAGGACACTTGTGGGAGAGAACGTCGAGCATCTTACATCTGTGATTGACAATTCCGGCTGAGCACAGACGGGAGTCAATCACACGGGTGGGAAAGGAGATCAGCGAGACGATCTGCCAGGTTCCTCCCATTCCAAATGCGATCGCAGGGCTGCAATTGAATAATTGACTACTCTATCATTAAGCGTTGGTGAATCTGCTTTTTTTTTTAAATGCAACATTAGTTCCTGTTGACAGTGCCGAAAATGCACACACCAAAATTGATTAGGATTCACTTCTTGGTCAGAAAATAGGCGAAATTGTTATTTTCCAAAGTAAAAGCAGACGATTGCTTATGTCTTATTTTGAAAAGTGCACTCAGCGAAAACTCGAGAAATGCGAGAATGTTTACTGCTGAGAGGCTGAAATTTCGACGATTTGGACCATTTTGAACGAAACAAGGATTAAACGCTAGTCAAAATATTTCACGTTATTAATCGTTGCAACCCTGATCCAAAGTGCAGCAAAGAAACCAGTCGACAAGCTCGTAAATCATAAGATGGGAGGACTGGCAAATATATATCCGTATGAATTTTAATGCGTGCTTGTACTTATTTCATATACTTTGATGTCTTATGCTCCAGGAGGAAAAAAAAAAAAAAAACAACCTCACCAAGTATTTCAAAGTGACACGATGACACCGAGTGTGAAAGCGCACTCGACCAGTGCGTTCTGAAAGCCGGACGGTGCGTTTGTCACGCGATGACTGACGGGAAGTCGCTGTCAGGTGCTCAATAATGCAGGCTGAAAGTCACGACTCTTGCTCAAGACGTCCAGCGGTGTATATATATATAAATATATATATATCTGACCGCGGCTCGACTTGTCACTCTATTTTTAAAAGCGACAGCTCCCCGTCGGAAGCCCGCGCCGCATGTGTCACGCATCACCTCCCTAGCAACAGAGGACAAATTCATGTGACGGATTGTCGACAGCACAATTGGGTTACGACCTCTTTGCCAAGTTGACGTCCCCTCGGCCTCAAAGCGTCCATCAATTCTACCCAACGGAACATGAAGAACTTCAAGAGCACGGTGTTAGTAGCATGAAAGACAAGAGGAAAGGGGGGGTGGGGGGATAACAAATCTCGTTTTCCTTCGAATGTTCATCCTCCCACTCCACACTCACCAGTCGACAGTGTGGGTGGCCGGGCACTCGCTGCCTGTGTTTCACTCGCTCGCCGATAGCCACACACGTTGCGGCGTATCGGCATGCGAGGAGACAAATGATCAAATCTGGACGGGGGCTATGTAAACCCGATGCTGTGTGGAGAATAAACATCGGGTCTTTCTCATCCTTTATTTGACTTTTTTTTCACCAAGCTAAGGCAAAATCAGGTACTCGCAAGCTACGGCGACTTATTCTTTTGGACTCCGATACTTTTATTGAGTACCTTAATAACGATAGTGTGAAACGGTAGTATGGCAAAAAAAGAGAGGGGAAAAAACCCCGTCAGTAGAAGTAGTGCAATTCTACAAATGGATGGCAGACCATATTAAAGACAGAACACCCCCGTTTTGTGTTGTTTGTCGCATTTAGCTCGCAGACGTTGGTTGTTATCTCATCTTTGTTTTACGGTCAACTGGGACAATGAAATAGCTTGGGGCCAAGCACGTTTGGCCACTTGTTCACCATCCGTCCAAGCGCACACAGCCGCTCTTAAAAATACCGGCGCTAAGAAGACAGAGGCTTGCAGCGTTTTTGACGCTGAGGTACTGCCGTGCTTTTTCAGTAGCGGGCCAACGTGCAACCCGACTCAATGTCACGGTTAGAAAGAGCACGCAAGGAAGCTCAAGAGGTAGATCTGTTTTTATGCTTCTTAAACGTCTCTTGGAGGGTGCATGACAAAGATTTGATGATGACTTCAGATGTTGCCTGGACAGAAAACAAAAGGCTTTATAATATGCCAACCGGATTGAGGGTTGAATGATTTGGAAAAATAATTGAATCACAATTTTTTTCCCCTTCTATATGGCCATTGAAAACAGAATTATTATTATTTTTTTAAAGGTCTTCTTACTTTTCCCCCCCACCGTATACACGAGAAACTCACCAACACAGGCGTTGAGGAAAAGCCAATCCATCCTTCTCATTCTGTTCTTAATCTGCTTGAGCTTTTTGAAATCCACCTCGAGCTCTTCTTTACTCCCAACCCCGGCCCCCGACGCAACCTCGATCCTCTGAAAGTCCATGTTCACCTCCGACTCGCGTTTGGAGGAAGGCGGCGACCTCCTCTGGCTGGTGCTGCAGCCCCCGACCAAACCCGCCACGCCGCCGACCCCCTGGCCCCCCACGCCGCTGCCGACGCACCGCCTGTTGCCCCTGTCGGCATCGATAAACTTCGACGACAGCTGCTGCCGCTCGGGCTCGGACGCCAGTTCGATGGGTTCGGCGAGCAGGCCGTGATTGGGCCGCGGGTGGTCGCACACGACGCATTTGGGCGCCTTTGACCAGTTCTCGTAAGTGCAGGCGGCGCAGGTCCAGTGCTGCGCGTTCGTGTTGAGCCGATTGCGGTCGTTGTATTCCTCGCAGGGGTCGGTGACGGTGGACGAGGGCGCGGGGCGGCATCCGGAGCCCGAGGTCTGGGGCGACTCGGTGGGGCTGCGCGGCTGTCCTTGATGGCTGGCGTGCTGCTGAGCGTGCTGCCTGTGACACAGGCACTGAGTGCAGCGGATGGCGCGGGGCCAGTTCAGGTAGGTGCACATGTGACAGGACCACTTGGAGCTGGTCTCGGGGGTATCGCTGGCGCGGACGCGGGGCCGCGCGCTGGAGTCGGGGCAAATGAGCAAAGAGGAGCTCCCCTGGGTGGGGCTGTTGCCGAGGCCGGCGGGGTCCAACGCCGGGGTGCTCTTGAAGGGCTCCTCGGTGATAATGGCGCCCGCGCTGGGCCGCTGCGCGCGGCACATGGTGCACTTGATGGCCGACGGCCAGTTCTCGTAGGTGCAGTATTCACAGGCCCACTTGGAGACCAGTTCGGTCATCGTCGCGCCCGCCCCGAGGAGTTTCGCTGCCGTTCGGTGGGGTTGTCAGCTCGGCAGGTCCACTCGGAAGCAAACGGTGCACTGCAACCAAAGACATGCGGAACATTTTATGAGGGATGTTCAATGTTACTATTCTCCGGATCGATACCTCTAGTATTTTCGATATATAAAATTTCATTTAAACACAATGACACAAAAAAAAAGTCTGATCCGGATGATGATTCGACGATGTGTCAAACTACCGGCGATCAGAGTGTGGCAATTTCATCAAACGGGGAGTAGTCTGACGAGAGATGGACTAGATGAACTATCCTTATACTTAGTTTATCGTTCATAATGTTACGTCAAACATTGCCTGAAGTGTTAATGGAGGTTTCATCATGCTGACAGTGAATGTACAATTTGCAGTGGGGATAATCTATATCGGCCAGATTATCCTATGTTCATCAAGAGGTGAGTAGTTTCAATGTCGGGGTCAGAGCACATCTGCGAAGGGACAATAGGTCAGCGCGAGGGCCGACACCATGCCAGTCGGTCATCAGGCACAACACTAAGCGTTATAGACACGGATGTCAGGACGGGCATTGGGAAAATGAAATCCATGCTTTAGCTTGAGAAAAGATGAGGCATCAGGTGGAGACATACAGTATCTACAACACTGTTTATTTTTGTTTTCTATTTGAGCTTTATTTCACTGAGTTCACGATTTACAGGGTGGATCTTCTATAATCCGCTCGACAGAGTACCGGTATCACGTGTTGATCTCTACTAATGCACATCTGCACAATATAAAAAGAGTGTCCGGTGCACACTGGACTTTCCAGTACACACGGTACAGTTTGCTCCTGCCGTGGAAGTATTTGACGCCACACAACACAGCAATGCGCAATAAACAATCCAGGATGGAAACCTAACACGGACCATAAACACATACGGTAAAAGTTAATTTATAGACAGGGGGCAGAGTGGCCTACAGTACCACAGAGGAGGCTGGTAACAAGAGACAAGGGGGGGGGGGGGGGGGGCCCA